TCATTCAGGCAGGTGACCGGGCTCTTCTTGGGAAGGGGGACAATGGTTGTGGTCTTAAAGCCGGTGGGAACGATGCTCTGGCTGAGGGAGAGGTTGAAGATGGTGGTGAGAACATCAGGCCAGCTCATTGGCACATGCCCCGAGAACCCTCCCAGGGATGTTGTCTGTTGCTGCTGCTGTGTGGGGGTTGATCTTCCTCAGGACTGTGCGCACAGTTAGTGGAGGGGCAGTGGGGGGGTTGGGCGGTCTCTCTCTGTGTGTGTGTGTGTGTGTGTGTGTGTGTGTGTGTGCCTCCTCTCTGTGTTGTCGCTAGGTGTTCCCCCGGCGGGTGTCTAGCTGATGATGCTGGTGGTGGTGGTCCTGTAGTCTGTGATGTGCTGCAGGTCTTGTCACATCCGTCCGGAGTCAGCAGTAGAATAGAAGCCATTCAGCTTCTGTCTCTACTGCCTCTTGGCTACGAAAGTCACTTTCAGCTTTTCCCGTTTAGGGGCCACCACAGCGAATCGTCACACTGACATGTTGACATTTGGCACGTGTTTTACGCCGTATGCCCTTCCTGACGCAACCCTAATTTGAACCCAGGCCGCAGTGGCAAGAGCACTGCACTTTTACCACTAGTCTACCAGGGAAGGCTCTTTGTACTGCGTCTTGGCTGCTGTGATAAAATATGAGCCTAAAATGATTTGTATTTCATTTTGATGTCAGCACCAAAATAGGATCAAATTTCTATTCATTTGGTTAAGAATTCACTGTGTACAGATTTTAGAACCTAGCTCAATTTCTAACATTTGACTGGACTATGTCACTGTTTTCATAATTAAATGTCACAATAAACTGGAAACAACTTCAGTCTTTGTCTTGACCACCGACAGAACAGAGTTGAGGTGAAATTAAGACATTTGTTTTGATTGTTGGAGTACTGAATCTATTTTTCAAAAATGTGTATATAGTACTCTGGTTTTGAAGTACATGACTTTATAGTGTCCTGTAAGCACAACACATTAATAAACATGTATTTTTTATCCCTGCATAAGTACTAAAAGCATCAGCAGATTTCTGCAGTATTTTCTTCTCACTATTTTTAGATTGATCCTTAAATTATGTACACATTGGGTTACAAGATGTCTGTGTAACATATAAGAAGCAAAAGATAACGCTTTTTAAATATGTGCACACTGGCATGTTATATAGACCAACAAAACTGTCACCAAAAAGCAAGATCAAACTCAGGCCTGCACTTCCTGTCCAAATATGATACACATTTAAAAACTGAATAAGTTCCCCACTTTAAAAATAGTCCTGTGCTTCACATCTTTATGGAGAACAAATTGGGATTTTGGTGGGCTGTGAAAATAAAGAATTAGAGGGCTCCCAGTTTGTTTGCCACCCACTGACCCGGTCTCATGACTGCTGCATGAGCAGGCCTTTTGTTCTTCAATCTCGGTGGGCAGCCGACCGGTCAGCAGAGCCACGGAGACTCTTGTTCACCATCTCTACTCCACGGTGTACGCGCGCCTGAGCACGTCCACCCTTTATTTGGTCAGCGGAAATGTAACTACGCTGCTTACGACATGAGGCGAGTAACCCCGAAGCCCCTTTAAACGGGAAATTTTCGCCTGCGCTTTTTGCGCAAGGAGAGCTTCCAAAGAAGTATGAGTAAGAGCGCGACGTGCCTTCTATACTTGTAGTGTATACCTCTTTCTATAAAAGCGCACAGGGGGAGGGAGGACTTAACTTTTCTCATAGCAGAGTCGGACAGCATTGTTTCACTGGATCCACAAAGGCTCGCATCACATAACGGTAAACATTTACTTTTATTCGTCATACCGATTCATTCGTGCTGTCAAAAATGCTTTTCATTTTCACAAGTTAATTATAGCTGCTAAATTCTATGTACTTGGTATGATACTCACTTTATTAGAATAAAAACAGTGCACGTAGCCCAAGACTTTATGTTTGTACTGAAAAAAAAACAAGCAAAGCGACAGTAATTTAACTAGAAGAGAAAAAGTTACATCACCTTTCTCTCTTGATCTAAAAATCGGAAAGAGCAGAATACGAGGGTAAGAGCGGAGACAAAAGGGGGTGATTACAGTCTTCAGCTCTGGAAAACTTCTGTAACTGAACTCAGTGAGCAAACAGCCTGGTTGTCTGGACTGCAGAGTGCTCCACAATATCAATTAGAGCTGCACTTTTTATTTGAATAAGCTGTTTGACACTTTTAGTTTCTTGAAACATGTGTGTTGCAAAGTTATAACATATGGCTCTTGTCCCCCCACCACCCCCCACACCCCCACCCCCAGGTTTTTCTGCTGGCATCTTACACAGAAGTGTGTGTCCATAAGGAGCCAGCTCATTGTCAGAAGCTTCCTGGTCTGAAGTGGTTTTCTTGTTAACATCTTCTAACAAGCAGCAAAGATGGAGCGGATGGAGAATCAGAATGTAAGTATAGTTATTTCTTACTTGTGCTGCTGGATAGTTGGTTTTGTGTTGAAACCTGATATTTTTCTAAGCTTAAAGAAAAACATTTTCACCTGTCAAACCCTGCACATATAATGCTGCTGCACATATTTGGTTTCTTCTCAGACGTACACACCTTTTTGTTGCTGTTTTCTGCTATGATTCCCAGTACTTTCTGACAATGAGTGTCAGCCTGACCTTGCTTTTTATGCCAGCACCTCATAATGAATAAGAGTGTGGTATTTGCAAGTCACAGCGTGGCAATTCTGTGTTTTTCCTTTCTGGAAAGAGCAGGAATTGGGGTTGAGAGTCAAGCAACTCAGGGCATGATTCAGATAGAATGAGACTGGGATTGTTGGGTGGCAAGTTAGAACTTGAGTGTTCGTCTTTTTTGTTTTTACTTGTACATGCTTAGAGAGCTGAGAAAAGGTAATAGTACCACAGCAAAGAAGGATCTGGACAAAGGAAAACAAGAGATTTAATGTTAATCAAATTAATCAAATCTAAATATACTACATTTTCTCATCATAAGAAATGTAACTGAAACTCTGCCTGCACAAAATGAACATAACCAAATATGTTTTTCTTTCATAAACAGTTTTCCTTTTGGATGTAGTGTACTGAAAAGAAAAGTTATAAATGTATTGCTGTGAAAGTCAAGTTTCTAAACTGGGGTTGTGAATATTGAGTAAGTTAGAGAGGTTGGGGACCGTTAAAGAGAAAAAAGGCAGCGTCATATTGCGAGAGATGATGAAATGATGAAGTTTTTGTACTGTTGAAAGACATTAGGTAATGAGTTATTTAATTCATGGAGGAAATTCTTGACCTTGGAAACAGCAGTTACTGTAAGAAAACCCTCTCACTACAAGATCCAGTTCTGAGTACATCAAGCTTATCTTAGTAGATTTGAATTGTCAATATTCACATTTCTAGAGTAATCACTTCAGCGTAACAATGATCTTAAATTTGTTCTATAGCAATGTCATAGAATAAGTTCAATGTCAAATTCAAATTTGAACCAGTATATTTGTTTTCTGATAAAGTCCTGGATATGGTAGAGTGCAGCTGTACAAATTGAACACATTATGTTTTTGTCTGCTGATTTAACAAGTAACCCATGTAACAAACACATACCTGTGCAACCCCATGCCTTGAAACAACCTCAGAGTCAGCTGCTTGTTGCTCATATCATGCATAATGCTCCTTACTCATTTGGCTGCTCCCTAATTTGATATGCTTTTTTAAAAAGCAGTTGATATAATGTACAGTCTGTTTTCTTACTGACCAGTAGCATGTCCTTGCTGACATGACATCGACATGCCTATATCAAATGCACCATGAAACCACATACCCATATGCAGTTTTGCAGATAGGCTGTGCTACAGCTTCTGTTCTACTGCTGCAGAGGACATCTTGTAGCAAATGTCAAAGATGGCATGCCTATGTTTTAGTTTCTTTTTCAAAATAACACATTTAACATGTTAACATGTTATATTAGCTTGCTTTTCCTCTCTATTATTTTTTAAAGTTATTACGTGCACTTTGTATTTCCTCCTTCCTGCTGTAGGCAGCATTTCCTGTGTGAAACACCCAGATTGCTATCTGTCACAGATGTAACACTAATGTTTAGTTAAGCTTGTTTCAGGCCATATTATCTCACTGAGAAACACCTACTTTCTGGTATCAGTCCAGCATCATTATTTCAAGTAATTCATCACTGTCTTCCTATGTGTTGGCTCATTCGGGGCCATGTGGTGGTTTTGGTCACCTGGTAGCTGCACTCACAAATTCATGTATTTAAAACACATTTTTGTTGGTTTTGTAGTCAATAAGGAACCTTAGGTCTTCTGGCGAAACTCAGAAATCAGAAAAGGGAGGTTGCTGAGCAGATGAAAGAACAGACTGTTTCGGGAGAGGAAGACTCCTTAAATTGCTCTTTTGATTTTAAAATGCTGTCCATATAGAGGCAGGTTGCTCACAACCACAATGAGCATGCTGTTTCACCATGTTTCAGGAATTTTTTGTTTTATCTGCGCAGATAGTGATAGCACGTACAGTGTGATAAAACAATGGGACAAAGCTCATTTGTTGCTAGATGTCTCTTTCTGACTTGAGTGTGATTAAATATTGCACAAAATAATGTATTAATTTGCACCATAAATGTTGCATTGATGTTCAATAGTTGAGTTAGTGTTGAAACAGAAGCAAAGTTTGAAAATAGATGGATCAAACTGGATTTTCGTTCAGTAATGTGCATATTTGGACATTAGCCCCTGACCATTAGACTCTAGATACAAATAATAAGCTTAGCAAAAGCTCTTAGAGGGTTGAAGAATTACAGTAAATATGAAAAAGATTTAGTGCTAGTTCTTCAGTCAAAGTGAAAGTTTCACTGGGGATTTGTGCCTCCACATAACTGGAACTGCAACTTGAGTAAAACCAATTATCCTATTTCTGTTACTTCTGAAACCAGCAGTAAAAAAAGAAGAAGAGAGACACTGACAACAGCATTCAGTCTCATTCTCTCAGGGTGTCTTTAGGTACTTAGCTGAGAAACACCACTGAGCCAGTGCAGTGTTGTAACACCTAGCTGCAGATGCTAATGCAGAAAGAAAACGGGGGTGGGGGGGCGAGCATGAAGAAAGGCTCATTGTGTGTAATCACAAGTGTCGCCATAAACAAGAAAAGCTTTGTAAGCCAACAGATTGCCATGTTCACCACACAAACTGAGAGCATGATCTCACATTGTCCTAATCTTTTGTATCTCTTTGTGTTTTTCTCTCTGATCAGCCAAAGAAGAAGATTACTCCTTACCTTCTCTACTGTGTTTTAACAGCAGTCATTGGTTCGCTACAGTTTGGCTACAACACTGGGGTCATCAATGCACCAGAGCAGGTGTGTCTCACATCTGGATGAATTCTTGTAATAGACACTTCATGTTTCCATGTTTTAAGATTGCAGAGATGAACATTAATAATAGATGCAATAAGTCTTGTCTTTTTTTCTGATATTAATATTGTAGTAATCTTCTACAGTGACATGCAGTTAAACACACTTTCTGTGAACACTTTTATTCTGTTTTATCTGGTGTGATTTTGTAAGTAGGTCTGTTCTGACTTAAATAAGACTTATGAGGTTTTTTGTGTGCCTGATTTCATTTGTGTACACAGTAGTAAAACACGGCATGATAATGCTAAAACCTACACTACCCCCATGTGGATGTGGCTAACACTGCAAAACACACATCAAGCACAAACTCTGCCAAATCTGTTTGACCTTAATTCAGCTGTTTTCATCATGAATCATAAAAACAAATACTTTCCTAAAAGCAGACACTTCTGACCTTCACACCCTTTTCTGTTGTTTGACAGAAACTTCGAAGGTTTTTCAATACGTCATCGGAGCGGTACGGGGAACATTTCAGTGAAGGAACGATAACTATGTTGTGGAGTTTTGCTGTGGCCATCTTCAGTGTGGGAGGCATGATCGGGTCCTTCTCTGTCGGAGCCATGGTCAACAAATTTGGCAGGTGAGCATATCTGGAAGAAACACTGTGCTGCAGTAAATGAGTTAATACAAGATGACAAATAATAAATCATCTGATAAGTACACTTTTAACAATTGTGACTAATATCAGCAAAAAACTAAACATTTCCTTTATGATTATTTGATTAGTGAATCAATAAAACATGTTTCAGCAACTTTGAAAATTGATTTATAGTTGAGCCAGTTGTCAACAATAATAAACACTGGCTGGATAAGTGCTTAAACTTATCATTCCTAACTGTATCCTTCCCTCCTTCCTGCCCAGGCGTAAGTCCATGCTGCTGTCTAATGCCCTTGCTCTACTCGGCGGTAGTCTGATGGGATTTTCAGCTCTGTGTCAGTCCTTTGAGATGATTATTATTGGCCGTTTGGTCATCGGTGTGTTCTGTGGTCTATGCACGGGGTTGACACCCATGTACCTGGGTGAGATCTCGCCCACCGCTGTCCGAGGAGCCTTCGGCACACTGCATCAGCTGGGTGTAGTTATTGGCATCCTGGTGGCACAGGTACACAGTGATAATGTGATGTGGTGATTATGTCATTGTTATTTTTATGTCAGGCTGTGCAAAACCTGCATACTGTTGGATAATAATACAGACTATCAGTTTTGAATTTCATCTGGCACAACTCTTCTGCAGTACACCCTGTTTTTTTTAACCTCATCAAAACACTGAACATCTAAAACACTGAATGAAGCATGGTGTGCTGGAGAGGAGCTGTGCTTGTTTTCAATTTGATGGACTTCACTGCAGCTATTCTGCACCTGCCTGTCACCTGCATTATCACGGTTACAAATAGAAAAACTTCATGTAACAGGAATAAATTGACTTAATTACTTACTACTTTGTCCTGTGTTGCATCTGTATTTTAGATCTTTGGTCTGGAGTTTCTGCTGGGCTCAGACACTCTATGGCCTCTGCTGCTGGCTCTGACCATCCTGCCTGCCATATTACAGAGCATCATGTTGCCTTTCTGCCCTGAAAGCCCCCGTTACCTGATCATTGTCCTCAATCGGGAGGAGGAAGCAAGAAAAGGTTGGTATGGAGACAATTTACATGGAGCCAACAAGATGGCATCATAAGGTTTTAATGAGACTGAATCTTGAATGACTCGTGAATTTTTATGATTTGTGGATTGAAGTGAGACCTCTAAATGAGGTGGCCCTGTGTTTCCTTATAATGTTACCATGCAAAATCGGGTTCTAAGACCCTTCCAGCCTTTCTTTACTGGATATCTCATTCTGCATAATACTGTACTTACTTCTTCTCTGTTCATCAATCCCTTCTTCTTCATGTAGCACTGGTGCGCCTGCGTGGCAGTGAAGATGTGGATGATGATATTCAAGAGATGAAGGAAGAAGGGATGAAGATGGCCATGGAAAAAAAAGTGACCATCCTTGAACTTTTCCGGTCCCCAAATTACCGTCAACCAATCATTATTGCTATCATCCTCCAGCTCTCTCAACAACTGTCTGGCATCAACGCTGTAAGTATGGACAGCTATCCTATAACGGGCCTTAGTCACAAGGATCTAATTAACTAATGTCAGTCTACATGAAGTAAAAGGGCAATCTTTAACCTCAAACATGAATCATTAAATGATACAAAGAAAACTGAAATGATAAAGATGTCTCAGATAAGCACCTGACAAAAGATACCTCTTGGCTCCAGGCAATGTTAGATTGAATGGAATAATTTGGGCCTCTGAGGGTCAATGGAAGGACACATGCACAGCGGTATTTAATAGGTATTTTGTTAATAAGGTCATGCAACCAGACTGACTAAATATGTTAGTGGTTACTGCATCTGACAAAACAACCACAGCAAAGCTGATTGAGCTCTCTGAGAGATACATTAACATTCATGGGTCACTTGCTGGAAGAGCAGCTCTTCTGTTTTAATTCATTATTATGTACAGATACAGCCATGCTCAGGAAAAATTAGTGTGTAATCCCAGTAGTATTATTTAATAATCGTAAATTAGGATCACACTCTATGGCAAGAAATCACTTTGTTCTGCAAGAAGATGGTGTTTTCGGCCATCCAGCCTTTATCAGTGTGCATTGTTCTGTCTTCTAGCAGAATCAAGTGACTTCTTGCCACTGAGTGCGATCCTAATTTATGATTACTGCTTTAGTTCACTGTTATTTTTCTCATCAATCTTGTCTCCAGCTGCAGTAGGCAGAGAGAAGCGCAAATCAACATCAGACATCAGACAAAGTTCACAACTTGTGAACACAGTGGAGCATTTAGCAACTATTAAACATCTTCATGTGAAGTTGGCCAAGGCCAAGACAAAGCTAAAAGAGAGTGATTTGCCAGTTTGCTAGTGTTGTACCCGGTACTTTTTACTATACTGACTCTGAGAGACGAGACAGTCCAAGTAACTACAAAACAGTACTGATTTATTCCATGAACACAGGTAAAATTAACATTATACGCTCAGGCATCTTGCACCTCCAAACTGCTCGCAGGCAGATGTAAGATGAAAGCCCCCGAACCCACCAGGCCTATACATTATATCCCCTCGGTTGGGCTAGCCCCATACTACACAGAAACGTCAACCGAGATGTCTCTGTTACCAGCTTTGCACTGACTAAAAATACCTAACACTAGTCACAACGTTCAGAGTGAATGCTAACTTAGCCGTATCAGCTATATAGGGTGATAATATGCCAATGTTTAAAGCTTAGTGCTCTGCCCCAGTGTGGCCAAAAAGATTATTCAAGCATATTTTTTTTAAATTCACACTTATGTGATCATGCTGTTTTAAAGACTGAACCATTTTTTTCAGTGAAATTAACAGTAACCAACTCTTCCTTCTCTGCTTTCAGGTCTTTTACTACTCCACGAGCATATTTGAAAAAGCTGGTGTAACTCAACCCGTTTATGCCACCATAGGAGCTGGAGTTGTCAACACTGTGTTTACTGTTGTCTCTGTAAGTATCTGAGGGCATGCTTGGTGGTGCAGTATAGGGCATGTGTCTTTTATATTTCATAGATTATTGATCAATCATGTTTATTCTTTGGACACCAGCTGTTCCTGGTTGAACGGGCAGGGCGAAGGACATTGCATATGACTGGACTGGCTGGAATGGCCATTTGTGCCCTCATTATGACTATCTCGCTTGCATTAGTGGTGAGTATCCATTGCTGTAATTCACAAGAACATTTTGTTCATTCTACATTTTTTCCTCATTCTCAGTTTTTTTGTCCATTTCTCTCTCTGAGCAGGACACCAACCAGTCTCTAAGCTACCTGGCCATTGTAGCTGTGTTTGGCTTTGTTGCCAGTTTTGAGATGGGTCCAGGTCCCATCCCCTGGTTCATTGTGGCTGAGCTCTTCTCCCAGGGGCCCCGACCTGCTGCCATGGCCGTCTCTGGTTTCTCCAATTGGGCCGCCAACTTCCTGGTTGGGTTGAGTTTCCCTAAACTGCAGGTATGGACATATTTGCTACACTTACAGTAAATGATGAAATGTACAAATATAATTATCTTGCAGTTTGTCTCATACCAAACACCGGTCTTTTTTTCTAAGGAACTCTGTGGTTCATACGTCTTCATCATCTTCATGGTCCTCCTCATCCTGTTCTTCATCTTCACCTTCTTGCGAGTGCCAGAAACCAGAGGAAGAACCTTTGATGACATTGCTCAGGGATTTGCTGACAGTGCCAGAAATCCCAACCACTCCACTGTCCCTGAGAAGGTGATCATCGACTCGTCAGACAGCAAAAATCCTCCACCTATGTCCCCCACAGAAAAGGTTCCCATGGTGGATCTTCCTCCACAGAAACTATGAGTATCTTTAGAGAAAAGAAGTAAGAATCAGGGTACAAGACAGACAAAACAGTCACAGCTGTGTGTTAATGTAGGTGTAGGATTTTAGTTTATTTAATATATGTTTTTAGTGTGTCTTTTAAAAAAATTAAATAGTGTTTTTTGAAAGATTCCCTGCCATAATAATTGAGAGAATTTCTTGTAATCCTGCTCTAAACATGGGCCAAACTTAACTGAATCAGTGCTTAATTTTTGTTGACATTCCCAGTGCCAGCTCTGCGTTTAAGAGGCTCAGCATATGTTCAGTGCTGAGCCCCAGGTCTTCAACAACCCCTAGTGTTAAAAGGTTGCAGGATTTAGGGTTTTGAGTATTGAGGTCATACTTAAAGAGCAGCTTGGGAGCATGTAATCCTGACCCAGAAAAAGACTGTCTGATGTGCTACACTGCCAGAGGACAGGAGGAATTGTTTTCTTATGCAGACAGAATAAACACAGGGGATGTGCTGCAGCACTCCCGCTCCTCTTCAGGTGTGTAAAATGTATTTATATAATTTAGGCATATTTAAGAAAGTTATTTCACAAGATTGTATGTAAGAGATTGAGTTGTAGTCTATCACTGTCAGTCTCTTATGGCTTCACTCCACCAGGATGACAAAAACGGTTGTATTCATTTAAAGTATGGATTACAGCAGTTAGAGACAAAAACTCAGGGGGTTAATTGTGTTACTGTACTGTACATGGCTTCAAACCGTTAAAGAAAATACATTTATTCATCACTGTACAAACTCATTTGTATCAGCATGTAGCTACAAGTTAATGGATCATAGACCATGAACTAAAATACAATCTCTAAAACAGTGTTACATCAAATTAAAAGTCTGTCAGTGTTAGGCAGTCAGCTGAGGGATGTACCGCAGTACATTTGAGTCTACTGATAATTAACCAACAATGTTTCAATCAAAACAAGATGCAGTGATACTGAATAAAAACACTAAATTAAATGTATTTATTTCAATGGTTTATGCACAGAAGTGTTTTATTATATATATTTGTTTAGAACTGTCTGAAATGATGTGTATATATTGTTAGTTGCATTGTGATCCGCTGTTATAGCATAATATACGTGCTTCTAAATGTCATGTCAGTATTTGTACAGTCGCATCTTGTCGATGTGTGCACATGCATGAAGAAGCACTTCTTCTCTAAGCTTAGCAGTGTTTTGTTTGCATTTTGGCATTTGCCTTACTTCTTAATGATTGTTTCTACTGTACATACGCATGTGTTAGGATATGTGTGGTTTTACTTGTTTTATTAGTTTCTAACTTACACCCTCTCTGATTTGTTTTGCCCACTGCTAATACTGTTAGTGTGATAAGTGCCATGATGTTACTTGCCATTCTCCATAATAGACACATCTTGAATGTATATATTTTGCTCTCTTAGTGGTGTGAAAAGTTTGGAAGGTTGAGTGTGTGAGAGTCATGTAAGAGTTGACCTTTACTGGTTTTCTATTACAATGTCATCTCTTCTCCTGCAGTAATAATATGAGTGTCACTTGGGTGATAAAGTAAAAAGAAAATAAAGTTGTCCATCATGTGAGGGAATGTGTGACTTGAATTCTGAACATAAAAAGGCTGTCTTTTTGTGCCTGTGATGCCATAAGTCAAAGCAAGTTTGTTGTTGTGAATATTTAATGTAACTGCAGCGTCTGTGCTGAAGTGGAAGTGTGAGAGGTTTGTCTGGTGTTTGGTCTGGTATCCACTTCTGCACTGTGGAAACTCCATTTCATTTTATGCACCATGGCAACACCTCCGTTAATTGTGCAGTTACAGTACACACTGTGGACTGTGGTGCTAAACAGCACTTTGAAACACTGAAATAGAGCCAGAAGTCAAAAACCAGAGCTTGTTTTTGTTTTCTGTGGCTGCTGCTGAACACATGTAAAGATGCAAAAGAATACTGACCTCTTAGAGGAATTCCTTTTACATTGCTGTTCTAAAGAAGACACTTCTAAAATTATGGGTTTTTGCTGTTATTTTAAGAGTGTAGTTGTTAAGGGAACTCAAATCCCACTTGTTGATTTTAGATTTTTGCAACACCAACTGAAAAAGAGGGCTACAACAAAATTATTTTCATGGTTTCCTAATAATTTTTTTTTAGTTTATTAATTTATTTGGTCTATAAAATGTTGATAAATAGCAAAAAAAAAAAAAGAATTCATGTACCCAGGGCCCAAACGTATAACTAGAACTAAAGAACCAAAAATACATACCCTTGACTAGCTAGAACCAATTATTTTTAATGTGGAGTGATAAACTATTTTTGATTAAATGTACATCAAAGTTGCAGATCATTTTCTGGTGATTGACTAATCAATTCATCAACTAATCATTTCAGTTCTAAAAATTATACAGTTATACATGATCCATTCTTGCTTCACTTTACCTTCTGTACATCAGCCCCTCGCAGCACACAACCTTGGGGTAAAGGCCCCCGACTGGCTGGGAATGGGGCCATGTAACTGTGTCAAGCCTACAGGCAGCATCACCCTGCAAGAGTCTACTGAAGTCTTACTCATTGCAGTGAAGTGGGGCATGAAAGCCCATTAACAAGAGGCAGTGCTGCAGCCAGACCAGTGAGGGGTGTGCGTGGACCAGAGGGACCTTCAGCTCTGTGTTTGTATGTGTGTATAAGTGGGAGCCTACATACTGTCTGAATGAGCAGCCCTTTGAGGCGAGGAGTGTGTATGAGAGATCGAATTATACTCATTTTCCATAAAAGGCAGAACTGAGAGAGATCTTAAAAAATGACTCTTACATGCCATGACTTGAAAAATGCACAGTGTTCAGACATGCAGGGGATGCCACATTTTGAGAAACAGTCTGCCAGGTGGCCTTGCAGAAATCTGTGTGAGGCATTAGAGAAGAGCTGGAACGGACATCGGTAGACATGTCTAGACAATTGTTTTAAAGACCAGATAACTTGTTTATTAATTTTTCCACCTCCTTCTCTCTCTCTCACTCCCCCTTGTCGACTGTCCCTGGCTTTCTCTCTCTGTTTTTGAACCTCTTAAATAAAAAACTATCTCCCACTCACTTTCTGGTCTCCTTCTCTCCTCCTGTCTCTGTGACAACAGTGTTTTGTTTACTTACTCACTTGGCAGTGTGCTTCTTTTATGTGCTGCTTTGTAAATATTTTTCTCCTTCCCACATCCATTCCTCCATCCAGTTCCCCATCCTTTCTCTCTTTTTCTCACTCTCTCAGATAAAGGGAGCAAACAGACTCCACCCCCTCTCTCACCCCCCTCACTCGCTGTCTCACACACACACACACACACACACACACACACACCCACACATGCACACACACACACACACACACACACACACACACT